GTACAGTAGATGCCAACTCACCCAGGATCATGCAAAATCGAACTTTTGATGAGTTACGTCCTACGGAGGATAACAAAGCAATGCTCGTTTATAAATCTTAGAAGAATCAAAGAAAGTAAATGACTCAATTCTATGCTTAGCAGATTGAGATATGAAATTAAAATGAACATAAATCAGGTTAACGTAAAAATATGAATATCTTAGTCCATTAACAAAGTAAACGTGCTTTTTCCCATAATTGCATTCAAAACGAACTGTAGCATAAAAACGAGAAAATAATGTTTATGGAAACCTACCGGCTACATAACTGTCCATACAAACACAAATTTATTCTGCTTTATGATACAAACATACCTGTGGCACTGCAGCCTGACTTAAGTCTTCGGTATAGCGAATGATCTGCGTATTTCGAACATGCAGATACTGGTAGCAAGACCAAACGACGTCGATGAAATAAGCCTAAATAATCGCTCTATTTATGAGATTTCGCATCTAGAGTCTCACATGATAACTGACAGAAAACATGTACATTATAGTATCTTGGATAACAAAAATTACCTGATAATCGAAGTCACGTCTAATACGAAACTGCCCGTTTAATATTGAAGGCTAAACATTTTTGCTATCGCTATACTCGTTAAAAAACAACAAATGTCGACAAACGCTACTTTTTCTCAATCGCTATAGCGTTGCATATCTAAGTAGAGTATCTATGGCACAAACTGCATATGCGTATGGTGTCATATGGCTAATGAATGGTGCATAAGACAAGGCGGAATCAAAGTAGTGTGATGCATCGAACGACGGCTCTGATAACACCCACTGTTCAAGCTCCGGATTTAAACATCAGCATCATAATCAGTGATTTATTAGGAATATACCTTTATCGCAATGCTATGAAGACGCAGTGCAGTAATTCTGAAAATGTTACCTTGTGGAGCATCGATGTCAATCGTGACATCTTTAATTGCACAGTTTCGTCGCAGTACGTTTGTGAAGGAAAAGAGGTTCTCGAGGGAGATTCGAAAAAGACTTTCGAAGCTATTACAAGAAGAATGCAACAGAACTGCATAGTTTACAGGATTCGGCTTTATTACATGACTGAAAGCACCAAAAATCATAGAAAAATATTATCCAAAGACTGGTCTTGGACAGCACTGCTAAAACCAAAACCAACTTTTGTCTAATGCATCGAGAACAAATATCTGCAAAATAGTACAAATATGCTGATATGTACCTTCTAGAACTTTCTGAATGTGAGAAAAACATCTCAATCCAGAGTTAAAGCATTGTTTGACAACAAATATCTACTTTAGTCACGAAGACTCCTCAATGTTGTGGGGACGAGCGCTGTTGTAACCGCCGGAGAAATACTTTCGGCAATGATTCCGAACAAATGATCGAAGCTAGGTGTTATATTTTTTTCCGTAAATGTTAAGTATAGAAACTGAAAAAATAACAGATCTCATTGGAAGACAATGCTCTGCCTGTTCCGTGATTCACCATGCTAGAAGCACACTTCTGCCGCCGTTTAGCTGACCAACTGCAGTTGGTTTTAAAATTTAGGGTAAGAATGCACCAGGTGACATGATGGATAGTCTGTAGCATGAAGATAGTGAAAAATAATGTGAAACTGCCGTTGGCAAGAAGAATGTAGTAGTACTAAAGACGAATTTCAAGGTATGAAAGATCGATTCCTCTGATAACTTACGCCCATTACAACAGCACATTGTCTAAAAATTAATTAGTATTAAATCCATATATAGTTTTTTTTATCAGAACGTTAAGATAAGGGTGCTTGTTTCGCGTCGAAAAACAGGATATCAACGAACTCCCATAACCACTGCAAATTCAAACATGCGTTACTAGACGGATACCTATGTTTATGGTCTGTTTTCTGTGAATAAAATAAATAATAGAACAAATCTAGATACTTCTCATCAGTCAACTTTAAGGCGTCCGCAGCATCCGTAGGAGCCTAATTAAACAACTAACCAATAAAAACACCTAAGAAATCAGCAGCCCGTAAACTCAACTGTCAGTAACAGAAAAAAGTTGTTTATACCTTGAGGATAAGCATAAGAACAAAAAAGAACAACAGCCCCATAGCAGCCCATTGTCCGTTTACGTTGAGTAGCTGGTCCCGAAAAGGAATATCAGGCTAAAATGACAGATTACGAGAAATAAAATAAATGCACTTAAAATATAAACATTTTTCTCAATTATGGTTTGAATGCTAGGCATCCACGTATAATGCCCGATTGCACTGACGCACGCCAGAACCAAATCCAGCACTTGAAAGCAGAAGAACGGCAATACGTAAAGAGGACGACCCTAGAAACATTTTTTTCAATTATAGAACAGCGCATTGCAAAAACTCTAATTCAAGCAAACAAATAATATTTAATCACGACATTTAAGAAAATAGGCAATTTAATAAATTAGCGGCATTGCTGAACACAATTACATTTAAAATTTAACCCCACCAAAACTAAGTGACCAGGGGCATATAGGAAGAAGAAAAAAGGTACCTTATTTTTATATACCCTGGATGAAAAAGGCAAATGCAAAGACCAAACATTACTGCTGACCAAGAGTGCAATCCCGCATCGATCCTACACAAATGACGTTGCTTTAGAGTATTACTGCCGTGACGAGACTCGACAATTCCAGAACACCAGAAATCGAGATACTCCAGGTTGCGATCCGCTAGTACCCGCCTGGTCGAGAGATCATAACAGCAATGGTCTAGTCATGTAATGACGTTGCCACACCAGATGCTCCTCAGTTACACTACTCGCAAAGTTCAGGGGAACGCGGACCTGGTGGTTCACTAATACTGAGTAGAACCGTCGCCAGAGAATCCAGAAGACAGAGCTTGTTCACGTGGCGTCGAGGTATAGCAAGCCTTGAAAATTGAATCTAATGGAATAACTGAAAAATATATAGAAACGGTTTATATACACAACGCAAGCAAACAAGGTGGTCAATCGAGCGACTGACCAACACCAACGTTTTGGCTCGTCTCTCAGGAGCTTTATTCAGGGTGGTCCGGATTGATTTCAGCAGCTGCTTCTATCGTCCGCAACAACTGTGATGTTTGGAGCCAAAGGTGCTATCTTGACCCATGGTGTTGGTTAAGTAGTTTTCGATAGCGGGCTCGATAAGGTGTGTCCAATCCGTGCGGAGAATGTGTCCTTTGTCCTGGTTGACGCTTTCGCAGGATTGGATAATTAAGGTGCTGCTGATTCGTCTGTGCAGATAATTTCTTTCTTTAGAAACAAAAAAACGCTTGTGAGAGACAGGCCGAAATGTCAGTAGTGGTCAATCACCCGACAGACCAACTTGTCTGCTTGTATTGTATACAAATAAATCGTCTTTTACTTTTTTCAGATTCTAGTATAATCTCTAATGAAAATACAAACAAAATATTCAATTTTCACTAAAAGAATTTAATTAATGCTTTCGGAAACGGTACAAATTTTGTACCGCTAAATTATGATCAATTCCTATTCCTCTAATCCTAATTTTAAAAACGAAACTCCGATGTTTTTTAAACTGTACATCATACGGGATAATTTCCTGAACGGGTCTTGTTCGCATACAAACTTTATTTACAATATAACGCTACGCTTCTTTGATATTCCTGTTGACTCTAAAGAGACATATCCATTCCCATGCCCAATATACAGACAGAGTTATTTACACTTGTATTCACTGTTGATGGTGCGAGACCAAGGCTCATGTCCCACAACCGTTAATCTTCGTCTACCCTCATATTTTTTATGTTTAATTTCCATTTTTAGATCAACTGTGGTGTGTTTACGCATGCGTCAACTTTTTCCGCGTCTGTTCATTTTTTCCAGTTTTTTTCCGTCATGAACATGCTCTGCCGCAGAACATGCAAACAACAAAAATTATAACAGTGTACGAATACAAATACGTACATAATAAGAAAGTGTTCGGCAGGGTAAGGTAGACAACGTGAAACTGAGGATGGGGCATATACATGCACCGCGTGGGCTGTATGTCTTAGAAAAGACCGTTGTTCGGTGGCGTGTGAGTAATATTCCATTACCGTTTCAAGAATATTTCCGTAACTCCGAATTTACATTAAGTGTGGATCCATCCGTATATGCACATATATGCAAACATAAGCGCATACCTTTATCACACCATATATCATCAGCGTTGTAATTAGAATCAGCCCAAACAGCAGGACAACAGCCAAATGCGCTTCACCTAAATTAACAGAAAAAAATTATTAACAAATTAAAACATAGAGAACAAACAGACAGTTTGTCGATAACATATAAAAGAGAGTATAAGCTGTTGAGAAATTACAAATAATGGACCAATTATAATAGCAGAAGTACAGAGAATTAAACGTTTCCACTCGAAACGTAGCGTTTTACGAGAACGATCTAAGGCAATTTCATGTCTTGTTGCAGTGGAAAAAACTCACTGTCTGCTCCGATACGCAATTATGCAATCATTCAAATCAAAGGACTTTAGAAAAATGAACCATAATGTTGATAACCTCGCTATCATTTGTGACGCAGACAAAGCCGCGAAGAAAAAATAAGGCAATCATGAATATCGTCACAAGTCATTTCCTGCAGCAAACATTAGCTGATTAGATATGCTATTACAATCACGTGGACTATATAATAACAGTGACATTTAATTTCGACAAGCTGTCTGAAGGAAAGTTTGCAACCGTTGGAATGTCAGTCTTCAATAAACTTCTATAGCTGGGTCATTTCGAGTGCCATTATTTTCAAGAAGTGAATGCCATAGCGCTGATCTTCATTTCCATGCCAGGACTGCCTGGCCTTTTGTTAAAGACAGAGGCGACTGTTGCCGTGTAACAAGCATAGTGTACAGTCTTTTGTTTCCTTCCTACAGATTTGTACTCATTTTACTAACTTCGGAAGGAAGAAATGTCAACAGCCACCACCGGGTCTTGAACACAGTATCTTCTGGCTCTAAGTCCGACGTTCTATCCACCGAGTAATTCCAGCCTGAAGTAACATGTGGTAAATTCCTAACTTAATGGAATTCATAGCTAAGACTACGACTTCTCGCCAAAGGAATCGAACCGGACACCTCTGGAGTTCGAAGCGGACCTCTTATGCACTATGCCACCACGTCGGACGAGACATGACAAGAGCGTAAGATTGGGATGTAATATTACAACAAAAATATGCATAATGCATACGTAACGATGTGGTTTTGCATTCATACACTGCACGGGTTATACAGGTCAGATATTACCACAGGCTCCGAAAAAGGTTCGTAACGCTTCAGAGAGCAAGATGACGATGTCATCAGGCGGGATGTAATCCGCAGCGATCCCCTATGTTAGATTTCGACTGACGTTCGTATGTGCGTTGTCAAGAAACAAAACTGTCAGAAAAGTGATTTCTCAATACAATGCAACGTAGTTAATTACGGCATATCAACTTGCAGAGAGAACAGAGCTTGAAGTTGATAAATCGAAACTAACATTGATTTTATTTCAAAACATAACCGATACGGTAACCACTGTGCCATATACCAGCAGTATTTACTTGAGGAACGCAAACCATTCTTTCATCTTCATCCATCAGATGCATTCTTTTTTTGGCGTTTATGATCATTTGACGTTTAACGGGGAAACGAATCTGATGCACAACTTATTTCGATTACTGCACACAACTGAAATTCTCTAAGAACGGAGCAAAACGATCGTTTCTGTTGCAGCACGCTTAGTTATTGGCATTCCTGTGCACTATTCCATCAAACCTGTTACTAAACCGCTAATCTGACTACCGTAAAACCACATTCATCAACAAAATGTAGTTTACGCTAATTTTTTCAGGTGACGAAAATACACATTTCTCTTGTCCGACAAATCGCCACGATCCACAGTTTACAAATATAATCCAACCCATATAACTGCGGTCTGCCAGACATAGTCAAACAACTAAATTATTTTCTTGTGCACGAATGTTTTAAAATATACTGCACTCACCAGCAAAGTTCGAATCTGCCGTTTCCGTTTTAGCGACAAAAAGTTAAATGTTTCAAAACTCAAGCCCTTTCGTGAGATAACGAAGATTTCCAATTGGGCTAAAAATAAACTGCTCTGTTACAATACACTTATTGAACTAATTTCGATACAAACATTATGTCGAGAAACTCATAAACAGCACAGTTGTGTAGAGTAAAGTTAAAAAACTGATATAAAATTACTTTACGTACACTCTTCTGCAAAATTACTTTAAAAATGTCTCTTGTGAAAAAAATTTCCTTCTAGATCTTCAATTCTTAGTTAAGTCTTCGAACTGCGCTCAATTGTACATCGTACACTGTACGATCATTCTA